TCCTAAGCCACTGCAGCAGGAATTCCATCCCTGGCCAGGGAGCTAACCCACATGGTACAGCAGACCTCTCCTGTCTTGCCTGCTGCTCCTCCTAGCAGTGTATTTCAGTCAATTAGCGTGTTCTGTTTCCCATTCTGTCTCTGGTGAATCCTCTCACTGCCCCCCACACTTTTGGCCTGTACCCCAGTCTTTTATGCATAAATAAATAAATCTTTTTTAAAAAGATAAATTGCAATTGCATATATTTTCAGCTTTGCAGGGTCTACAATCTCTTTGAACTCAAATATCGGATACTGGCTTTGTAGCACAGAAGCAGCGATTGGCAAAATGGCAAGTATTCTTTTTCTTTCAAGAAATACCCACTCATCTATCTGCATTCAATTGATCAAAATGTATGTTCCTAAATGTACTAATATATGATATAAACACTATATAAGGGAGTAGTTCCAGCAGTTTCTAGTGAGGTCTAAGTGTGCATTGTTGCTAAGGAGAGTGAATGTCCCCAATTTTCTCTGCTTGACAGATACAGTTAGCAACTAATACTGTTTCTTATTTATAAAAACAACTATTTTTTTTTCCTGAGCACCTGAGCATTTGCAGGATTTTATATCACTTACCTCCTTTACTTCTCTCAACACTGACATGAGATTCTGCTATCATAGCTCCCACTTTAAAGATCATAAAACTAAAGTTTAGACACCCTGACTGACGTGCTCAAGGTCACAGAACTAGCAAGCACCCTCAATAGGATTGAACTGATGTAGCTGAACTCACAACCTGTAACTTACAGTGACTACACATTACTGTCCCATCCATTGTCGACCCAGACCATGAATATACATGGTGTTAGACCAGTTATAATCTTTCAGTTTGTGGAAAATGCAGATTTGCTCAGCTTGCATTGCTTAATGGTACTGAAACCACAGAGAAATGGAGAAAATGGGAAAGTCTCACCACTGCATGGTGTGTCTGGAATATCCCCCAGAATGATGCAATCTCATTATCCTCCCACAAGTCAGCACCCCTTCCTTCTTGTGCCTAGCTATTATGGTATGAAAATTTGTCATTTCTAATTGTCTTCAGGGAATTAACGTCTTTTCTTTCTTTCCTACACACCTTATGACTGCACCTTATTCATGGTTTGTTACAGATAACCATCTCTACATTTCTCACATTCTGTTCTTGCCCACCAACTGGTGGTTATGCACATTTATTTCATACTTAATATCAGTTGGTCTGCTGTTATATCTAATACAGAGCATCCTTTATTAGTATGGTTCTATTGTAAAGGTATATGGTCCCTATTAACCATTTCACAGATGGATGTCTTAAATCTAGGCACACATTCGTCACTGATCACATCTACATGGACATGACCTAGAGACATGGCCATATATTTTGGGTGGGGAGATCTATGCATTGTGGACACTCAGTATAACAAGGTCCTTTGCAATACTGCCTTTTATAGATCATGCTCAGTAGCAATAAAGGAGACTGCCAATGTAGACTTTTTCTATTATCCTTATCTAAAACTGAAATAAGTTAATCATTTACCATAAAAACTAGAGTATGAAAAGTAAGTTGACTGTTGGTTGGAGATTATACATGCATATTTCTTGATCATTAGTCTTAATATTATTGGATCCATTATTTGCCGAATCTAGCTCACTACTATCTTTTTGTATGTTGGAGCACAGTAAACGGTTCTATTTTATAACTATGCAATCTAACGATCTTCCAGTTTTATCAGCACATCCTTGGATGTGACAGCTAGTCATATTAATTTTGTAGGTCAATGCTAATTTTATAACATCTCTAACTTTTGGTTATAGACTTGGTCAAATTTTAGTTTGGATAATCTTGACACAATATCAATACTATAAACTACGGAAAATCTCTGTGTACACAATGAGATATTTATATAAAGTCAATAGCAAATAGACTCCTGTACATTTAGGTTTTTTTTTTAGTTTAATTCCCAACATTCAATTTCAACTCTTAGTTACTTTATTTGCTCTAATTATTGTGAATGTCTTTTGCCACTAACATGAATTCCACTACTTTCCTTTTAAGCTCATTTCAATGTAAGTGGCAATCATCTCTCTACTTTTTATTTGATTTTATGCTGAGAGTGTGTCAACCTCTCCTGGAAAAATGTATATTATTACAGATACTAAATTTCAGTACTGATTATCCACATAGCAGAGTGCTTTTTCTGTCAGTTGTAATCAGAGTCATCCTGATGTAGAGACTGGAGCATTAAACTTTTCCAGAACCAAAAAGAGTAAAGTGCATGCTTCTCTGAAACATGGGAAGCTATGGAATTTACAAAATCATTTAATTTGCATAAGTCAGAATTAAACTATTCTGGGGTAACATCACTGAGCTATTATATCTTAAACTAATCATGAATATCACTTCAAATATTGAAATAGGTCCTGGTATACAAAGTGATTTAAAAAAATAAAAAAGCACAGCCAGAGGATTAAAAGTTTTAAATGCTGTCTGATCTGAGTTTGAATCACAGGTCCACTAAAAATGGTATGTGTTTGGCCAATCTTCATTTCCTCAATGGGACAAATACGGCAAACAACCTCCATGTTATCACCTTGACTTGATGATGCTATAATCATCGACACAAAGTTTATATCCCAACTGTCTGTAATTTAGGATGCAGGCAGGGTATGTTAGATGCTGCCTCTCTCCACTGTCTTTTATTGAAAATATCACATACCAAGGCACATCAATCTGGAAGCAAGTTTTATAATGTTTAAAAGATTTTCAGTTTAACTTTTGAAACTTAAGGAGCTTATCCTATAAGATGCATTCTGATCTCACAAATGGAGTAAATTACCATCCAAAGAAAAAAATGTATTCAGTATGGAACCTATAGGTGGCACCTGGGGAAATACATATTAAGTGAGGGTTGGTAGAGGGAATTCTGATGGAGGAAGCAGGTGCTACTGAAATTAATAGTTCCGAAATCTGGATTAGACCCAAGATTTTATCCATTCATTTTCAACTTGAGTAATACAAATTCAAACAACCACCACAATGATAAAATCCTGGGAAATAATTTAGGTATACACATCTTTTTTGAGTAAGAACCACAATTCCGTTCATTTTAAAATATATTTCATTGTATGCTAAACATATCCTCGATGATCATATAAGTCAAGTAAGTATATCTAATGAAAGGTGTTTGGGTAAGAGGCCACCATTAATTTTTAACTTGACTTTAGGAATAGTATTAAATATAGAGAGATTTTCAGCAATTTATAAATATGTTACTAGCAAATGTAGCCCTGATTCATGTTGCCTGACTCTGTTTATTAAACTTGAAGAAGATGGAAGAAGCAGCCAACTGTAGTCAACTGTACTCTTCCCTCAGTTATCTTTGTATCATTTAAGACACCAACTCCCCAGAGAAAAAAAGAAGGGCATCCCAGTTAAAAGTCTTCAGGCTTTGGCTAAAATCATATAGACAACCAGTAAGTACAAGTCCATGCTTATGGGTATCCTAAAAATAAAATATTTTGATCCTGTAGGAGAATCAGTAACATCAACACCAGACTAAAAAGTCTCCAAAATATTTCAGGGTGATAGTTAATTAATATAAAGAGGATTCTGACAACTTTATAAAATGCCCCATCTCAAAGTAACCACGGAACTAAGGCGGAGTCAACATTTCATGAAATATGAGTGCTCATTCTAAAAAACATTTGACATACCATTTTCAATCTTTACACAAAAGCAGCGAGATATCGCATTATGATTTAGCACAACAGATCAGCTTTTGAAATTCAATTTAAGTATTATCTTATAATGATATATACCTTTATATATGTAGCTTAAATGTTTGTCAATTTGAAAAATCATTTTGAAGTATAATGCTACATCATAACAAGAGGATAATTGCTATTATTTATTCATATGATTAGAGTTCTAATGAATAAAATAGTCATACATAGTTATAGAATTTATTTTTCTTGATTTCATGTAAATTTCTAAAATGTAGGATAAAACCATCAGACTAGATGTGTAAACTAGAGGGGGAAAGTTCAGGTAATTCAAACTTTGAAAAAAGTTCTCCGTATTTTCTCTAGATTTTTTTTTAACATACTACAAACTGATGAGGAAAAGGGGTTTAGAATAATATGGACTAATTTATCTACATTACCTAAATAACTGCACTAAATTATTTAAAGTGTAGCTTAGCCTCAATTCATTCTTGTTTGCTAACAAAGAACAAACACAAGCATAAAAATCAAAATTTCAACAGACACAAACTTAATTTCTTATTGAAAAACTATTCTGAAACAAGCCTTTTACAAAGAGGTTATCTTTTTCATCACTTTCCTTGTTAATTATGTATCTCAGAAAAGGAAACCATCTCTCTTGTGCAAGAACTATAAATCATCAGTAGTATATTAATATGTTTTGGTTTATTTTTTTAACAGCTTCCCCCAGAAACTTTATCATTTAAAATTGAATTCCTTAAAGGACACTACTAAGTATTCAGGGATTTAGTCCTAAATCCTTAAACCCAGAGGGAGATAAGAACACTGCTAAACTAGAAAGCTGCACAAAATCTCAACACTCATTTGCAAATTTTCTTTCTATCTAATTTAACTTTGCAGCCTTTGACTTGGAAATTTTACTATATGACATCAACAAGACACTTCAATCAAAATCAAGTTGCCTTAGTGATGCACAGTTCTCTAGATTATTAAAAAGGCAAAATGAGACATTAACTCTCCTTTCATATTTCCTTTTATTTTCTCTTGGTGCAGGGCAGAACACTTAGATTTCAAAAGGAATTGGCCTGAAATATCATTATCCCCAAATGTCAGTTTCCATTCCAGGACACTTGCTTAGAAACTAAGCCTTTTTCAGCAGAAACAGTCACTTGCTGCAGTGCAGACTGTCAGTTTAGTCAGTTAGAACTTTCAATGCAGAAATTCAGTGCCACACAGTCACCCGGATCCAGCAACACTTACCTTAATTGAAATATTCTCTGTGAACGAGGTGAGAAATCAGTCAAATCAACCGTGAATGGGGTGGGGAGATAGAAGTTTCAATCAAAGCCCTCCAAGTAGCTGCATGCTGTGCTTTTCTTTCCTGTTTATGTTGAGCCCCTCACTGTCTAGGAGGACAAAAAGAAGCTGAAATCCTCAGAGGTTCCAGTGAGTAAATGAGGACTAAGCGATGTTTCTTAACGGGAGATCCTCCGTGAGCTTGCTGCATCAGAGGCTCCCTAACTGCTGTGATAGGCTCCTGTCAGGGCGCTGGATCCGGGCGATAATCATTGACCTGATTAGCAGGGAACATTCCCTGTGCACAGACAACACACTCGGAGGGTTGGTGCGTCTCCTGGGAATTGGAAAAGGCACCAAGATCACTTGGGAATCTAGTCTTTTCCAGCCTAATGGATGAACTACAACTCTCACTATAATTTGCAGGGAGATTAGCCACAGCGTTGAGCCACGAAGGACTTAGACAAGTAAGATTTCTCCTGCTGTTTTGCAAGGTGCATTCGTGTTAGATATCAGGTACAGTGAAACAATTAATAGATGGATGTGGCTGATTTTTAAGACAAGACTACAGCTGAAAAATGTTTAAAGCAATGTCATCAAGGAGAGAGCTGCCCTTGTCTTTGCCCCAAGCCTGGTACAAACTTCAACCTTTGTCTAAGTAAAATGCACTTTCAAGGTTCATCTCAGCCCTCCAGAGTGTAACTCTCTGATTTACAAAAAGGGAAGTTTTCATACTAAATGAGCACATCTGGAAGGTTTTTTTTACAGACACAAACACTGAAACTGAGACAAGAGAACACAGCCTGGCTTGGGAAGGCTTTCAATTAGCATCTTAAATTGCCATCACACTTGCAGAAATGTTTGCATTCTATCATTAACCTGAGGAATTCAGGCTATAGAGCATCACACCCAATAGAATCATCTCTACTGTTATAGGTTGAATTCTGATTTTCTTTTTTTTTAAGATTTATTTATTTATACAAGCACTGGGGTACAGGCCAGAGACGCTGGAGGGTGAGAGAATTCACCAGAGACAGAGCATTGAGCAGAACATGCAGAAGGACCAAAGTACACTGCTGAGGGGAGCAGCGGGCGAGACAGGAGAGGTCTGCCTTGCCATGTGGGAATCTTCCTGGCCGGCCAGGAATCGAACCAGCACTACAGAGGATGCGGACAGCTTCACAACACTGTGCTCAACCCGCTGCCCCACCAGGAGGCCCTGAATTCTGATTTTCTAACCCTCCAACAAACAAGAGTGTGAGAGAATCCCAAATGCTGAACAACTTTTTAAATGTAGTTAATATCATCTCCAGTTCTCACCTGGGACACACCCCCATATCCCCAGAAATGCTCAAAAAAAGTCAAGGGACTAAATGCCAAAGCCCCAAACAGTTAATTCTTGACAGCTCTCACTTGTGGAGGAGAAAATGATGCAAATAACATAAAAAGAACAGATGAAAAAAGTCATTTGCATGTCTTGAGGGTGAGAAAAATCTCATTGCCAGGGAGAAAACTGACAAATGTCCTCTCACAATAATACTGTGTGATATGCTCAGCATTTCTGTTTTTCCAAATAGCTCTCACTTGGGACATATGGCATTCCCCTGACACATTTGTGCTGGGGGGGAGGGTGGATTATATTTGCATTGTAATATTTACAAATATCTCAGGAAAAAAAGACAAATTTCCATAAAGGAATGCATAAAACATATATAAAAGACATTTTGTTTGCCTTGTAGATCCCCAAGTTATTGTCTAGCCATATTTTATTAAAACACAACTCTTTGTGGGGACTTCTTAGATCAGGTAAAAACTTCATGGTAACTGAGTTGCTACAAGAGGGCAGATACTTGAACTTCAAGCCGAGATGCACCTGTGAGGTGCCTGCCAGAAGAGCTAGCAGGCGTCCTGACTAGAGGAGGTCTCTTGCTCCCTCCACTGGTGGAGGGTGAGAGATGAAGGTGAAGAAACCAGTCGATACACTTCGGGAGGGAAAGAATAACTTCTGCTGTTGTTAAGCAGGATAGACTTTATCCCATTTTAGACAGGCATTAGAGTGTTCTAGCAGAAAAGAGGCTGCTTAAGTAGAAACTGATGCAAATAAATAAATAGCAAGCTGGAAATATAATTGGCAATTTTGTTAGCAAGAATCCTGACTAGTTCACACAGGACAGGTCAAAGAAAAGCTGCAGGATTCCATGGTTCTGGTGCTTGGTAGGTAACGGCATTAAAGTGATGTTATGGTGCTGGTCTAATCCACATAATGAGAAGCTCAACTTTTAAAAATATTTTTAGAACAAACAGAAAAAGAGAATTTATTGAAGTACCCTGCAAGAAAGCAGGAGGTGAGACTGGATATATCCTCTGCGCTGAGAAGCTCAACTCAAACAATGCACTCTATAAAACACTATAGGACATGGTTTACTTTCTTGAATCCCAACTGCCAGCAATTATCAGCACCAATTAAAAAAAGGAACACTTAGCTGACTTTATACCATAATAGTTTGTGTCCACTTTGAAAGCCCTGAGTGCATGAGACTGCATTGTCTATACTTTCAAGTCACTAGTCTGAGGTCTTTGACTATAACCATCGACATAGAACATGAGTGACTCTGCAGTAGTTTTTTTAAATATAATATTGGATAACATGTATTTTGGCTGGAAGCGCATTTACGGGTAACAAAGAAACATGATGCTATTTTGTGGGGAATGTCAAGAGAATCCAGTTGTGATAATTATAGGAACTAGACATTAAATATTTGCTGTGTCAGATGCTTCAGATAAACGTCAGCTGTAGCCATTTTCCACAAAATCTTTGGAACAATCCTATTAAACAGGCAATATTATCTTTGTTAAAAAAATAATGACTTAAGTCAAGAATTTGGGAAGTTAAGTAAATGAATCAAATCCACACAGCCAGGACAGAGCAAACCCAGATTACAACAGGTCACTTTAACTCTAAAAGTTAATAGATTCTTAGAAATTCTCGTGTTTAAACCAACAAAAAATACCTCCATCCAATTGAATAGTAAAATTATTTTTATGAATTCCACAACACATTTTTGCATCCTTAAGAAACGTGTCTTGTGTCTGATAAAATATTATTGTGTAACAGTTTAGTCACCGTAGTTATGGATATTTGAGCGAAAATGAAATTAAACAAAAGTAAAGTTTAGCCTAAAAACAATCTAGAACTTCCAAAAGATATATTTTATTAGAAAATATAATTGATTTCAATTTTTAAAAAAGATCTTTTACGAGTCATTATCCTTCTTTCTTAAAATCTAATTATTGCTTTATGAAATAGGAAAATGACCTAGTTCAGAGCTATCAGAAGAACATTTACCAACAGTACTAGACTATTTAAAAATGATTTCCTATATCTCAGTTCCCGAAGTGAAATAACATAATAGGAAAGTTTAAAAGAAATATGGAGCTGAAAATGTCATTTCTCATTTGTTCATGCTTTATCTAGAAGTTTCTTCAATTTCACATGAATCCTACCATTTCATATGGTTTGCTAAAATTATCAGATACAGTCACAATTTTACAGAGAAATGTTGTGGCCACACTTTCTCAAGGCTTCTAATAAAATTCTATCAAAAAAATGATGACGACTCCAATTAATTCAACTCTTAAACTTTGGCAAGAAATTCCCCACCTATTATCTCATTTGATTTTTACAGAAATCTCATGAAATAGTTTATAAGTGTTTTACTTTAATTATGGGACAGTAGGAATACAAAGATCTTTGATACTTAGTGGAAAACCTGAAGTTCTATCCAGACAAGGATTATAGCCCCTACCAATTCTAACAAATATTTTTGTTCAAGGCACATGGTTGTCAAAAAAGATCCTGAATGAATATCTAAATAAATGGAAACCACTCAGTCGTCATTCACCTGGAATTGCCTAAAGAGTTTTGTGATGAAATGAAGGAATCTTTATTCCGAATTAGTAAAAAGTCTGTGATTTATGTGTAATTTCTCTGCTAAAATTTCAACAGACTTTTGTTGATCTTGACAATTATGTTAAGCAATTGTGAAGATGCAGGTATCATGATTCTTACATCAATTTCATCTTCTTTATGAACTTCCCATTCAAATATTATCTTTCTACATTTTTTTGTATGGTGAATGCATTATCAGGAGAAAATAAATCTCAGAACATTACTGTTAATTGTTTTAAATATAAAAAAGTCAACAAACTGGCTAACAAAATAATAACAAATTGATCTTTCTGCAGCAGCATGGAGCCAATACTAACACAAAAATGTTTGCCGAATGTTAATAGTCTCATATTTTACATATATTTCTGCTTATGCACATGTCATGGGGACTGACTAGCTGAGTAATCAGTTTCAATGTAAACTTTACATTTTTGAGGCCAGTCTTACACATGTATATTCACTAATTTGAGATACTATGATTTTCTGGGTATAAAAAAGGATTGAAAAATGGAAAACTTGGAACATAGTTAATCTGGCACTAAATAGTTTTATAAACATGAGCCATTTAAAAAGCTCCTAGTTTATAATTTCATTTGAAAATATGAAGAAATTAGGGCCTCCCCGGTGGCGCAGCGGTTGAGTGGTGGGCTGCGAGGCTGCCCGCAGCCTCTGCAGCGCCGGTTCGATCCCCGGCCACCGGGTGAGGGTCCCACATGGTGCGCAGACCTCTCCTGCCGCCCGCTGCTCCCCTCAGCAGTGTACTTCGGTCCTTCTGCCTGCTCTGCTCCCCGCTCTGGCTCTGGTGAATTCTCTCACCCTCCCGCGCTTCTGACTGTACCAGTGCTTGTATAAATAAATAAATAAATAAATAAATAAATAAATAAATAAATAAATAAATAAATAGATAAATCTTTAAAAAAAAAGAAAATATGAAGAAATTAGATTGAGTTATCTCCAAGATTTAAGTTGGCTATAAAATTATATTATCTATTTTCACTAGTTATTTGTGTATCCTCTCTACTTAATTCAGGAATAGTCAGGAAGTCAAGAAGTAGAGGTTGTATACAAATATGTTTTTCCCTCCCTTTCTCACACTAAAGTCCTAAGAGTTTTCTTTTATTCTATAAATTGCATTATGGCAAAAATATTTTGTTTTCATAG